TGGTAAAGTATGGGGGACCGTATGCTTTGGCCCTGTTGAGTTTAGTTCATTTGACACACCCACACAGCACGGCATTCATTGACGCACAAAACACAAGCAAGCAACCTATATAATAGGGGAGCAGCCACCAGGAAACATGTGTACAGGCTTGTGGCCCTCAGCAAGGTGTCTCGTTTGTGGTCTCTTCATGTCTCTTCATCAGGCCGTCTCATCAAAAGGGCAAAGGACAACATGCATGGAACGCGAGCTTGTGTGGGTACAAAGAGGACCTTGTTTGGAGTCTAAAGTATAGGGGGCGGATGCTTTGGGCCTGTTGAGTAGTTCATTTGACACACCCACACAGCACAGCATTCATTCACGCACAAAACGCAAACAAGAAATACAATCCAACGCGACCATTGTTCTAAATCAACACGCACGTACACCGAGGGCTTTTACTCCATGGCAAGCGACGTGGAAGCGAGCCCAAGTCCCAACCTCCCTCCAATTCAAAGGACACCGCACGGCCAAATGCAGACAAGGATCCATGCAGATCAGGCTGGGCAATACGCTCGCGTGAGATCAATGAGAAGAATGTTGCAATAAAAAATATGCGTTTGTACTTTTGGGATCAGCCCAAATCCAAGAAATGTATGGGAAGTTATATGATTGGTCTTCAATGCAGAGTTGTGGAGTCACAAAAAAAATAATTAGAATTTTGTGGGTCACAAAAACCTAAATCAGAAAATTGTGCAATCACAAAAATGGTTAGTATTTTTAAACAGGTTTTTGTGATTGCACAATTTCCTGATTAGGAAATTGCGCAATCACAAAAAACTATATCAAATTTTTGTGGGATCACAAAAACCTAAACGATTGTGAAACCAGACCTTGATATGGGGCGTCCCCCCACGGGGGAAACTCTCGCCAATTTTTTCCCAGACATTTTTGAATCGCAATGATTTTTTCTAAGGTTTTGATGCTTTTGGCAACAGTACTGTCCTTATCGCGATTGAGGGACAGTGCTCATGTTTTGCATTTTCACTGCAATGATTTCAAGCAGGAAAACTTGTCAACTAGATTCCAACTACTTTCAATGAGACTTAAGTAAACGCTCAAACAACCAACCACCAAGCTGCATTCCTGCCCGTGGCCCTCGACAAAGCCCGTGAAACATTCCACAAAGACCTGCACCAATCGAGCAAATGCGTCTACCAAGGGCATGAACACACAAAGGCAAAATTCAAGAAGGGCGTACAACGAGCAAGTATTACGAAGACCTTACAAAGTCCACGGTGTTTTTCCTAAGGTTTCGACGTTTGAGGGACAGTAATCAAGCTGGAAAACTTGTCAACTAGATCCAAATTACACTCATTGACTCAAGCAACTCCAAATTACTCTCAACTTCAAATTCAAGCAACAAACAACAACGTCCAACATCCAAGCTGCGCTCCTGCCTGCCTCGAAGCCGTCGAAGCCCACACACACCTGCAACAATCGAGCGCGTGCGTACAAAGGCCATGAACATCTATGAACACACGAAGTCAATATTCAAGGGTGGCGCAAACGACAGCAAGCAAGTGTGGCTTACGATGAGTTCACTTCGGTCCCTCCGCAAATCCCCTGTCCTGTGTTGTCAACAAGGGTGAGATGTCGTATGTAGAGTGTTGAGCTCAATCCCCAGTCCAGCACCGCTCAAACCACATGTCTTTTTCAGCTCGACGGCGTATTGCCGGAGGCTCACGCTTCTGCACCATCTGCAGACCAGGCTTACACCAGCCCTTGTGCAGCTATGTACTGAGGGTTTGTGTTCTAGTGCACTTATCGCTGTCTAGGGCTGCAGATGGATCATGAAATCACGAGCCGTAAGGGCGATGGATCCACTCAGCCTATGGTTGAGCTATCCTATTAGGTTAGGAGGCCATTGCTTCTAGGTTGGAGGCCATTGCCTGTTAGGTTGGAGGCCATCGCTATAGCGGGATCTAGCGGGTTCTTTTTGGTGTTGTGGTGAACTATAGTGGAGGTTGGTCAGCGCATCCACCGCCCCCAACCAAAGTCCAAAATCAAAAGCAGCTGCGATCGTCATGATCAAAAGCAGCTCAGGCGGGTGGCCTCCTCACCGCCTCCGCCAAGGTCTTCGCCAGCGCCGAGACCGTGGTCACGATCTCCCTCCGCTCGGAGGCGTTGAGCTGAGAACTGGATGCCGCCTTAGATGCACCACAATCATCCAACATCTAGAAATCCCATACCTTTAGGTTGATGCCAATGAGTGGAGACAGCAATCAAGCACAAAGCTGAAACCCAAATCGTTCCATCTATAAAATGAGTACAGCACACAAAGTTTGAATGACAAACCAGGCCACGGATGACCTCGCCTCCCGAAGCTCCCGATGCGTCTCCTTGCGTGAATGCAACACGATGCAACGCCAGCCGAGTCACGCCGAAATACAAAAAAACAGACCTCAAGGAAAACATAGCAAAAACAAGCCCTGAACATCACACCAAGATGCCTTGGACCTGATCTGCACCCCGCCACGGGTTCTGCTCCGCTCGCGGCTGCTGGAGGATGTTCTGTACCGCGGGAGGTCGCTCACCCACATCACCTTCCCATCGACCTGAACCTGCCCGTTCCCGAGGAATTTCTCCTGAGCATTTGGTCGTTCAACATTCAACATGACAAGAGTTCATGGACATTCAACATTCAACATGAAAAGAGAAGAGTTTAGGCATCGCATTCGATCAACATTCAACATGAAACAATTCAATAGACAAATCTCCTTCTTTCCGTTGTGCCATATCACTCCCTTGAAATCCTCCCCAGGCAGGTCGGTCTCCAATGCGAGCTCCTGGGATTCCACAGGGCGCTTGGGTGGCATCACCAAAAGCAAACACTTGACACAGTTGTCATTTGCACCTTTGAACAGAACTGCATCAAACATTCGAGGAATACAACATTCTTGCAAGTGGACATCATGCAGCATGCACGAAACAAAAGACTGTTCTTCCCCAAACAAGGTTTTTCATTTGCATCGTTTTTGTTTTCATCTTTAGGAAGGAACTTCATCAACCGGTGGAGGCATAAAGCAAAAGACAGTCCTCAGGCTGCTGAGGCGGCACCGCAGGTGGTGGAGGCGCCACCACAGGCGGTGGCGGAGGAAAGGGAGGCGGCATCGGGCGGCGCTTGGGCATCGGAGGTGGTTTCGGCAAGCGCCGAGGCCATGCGTCCAAATCCTTGTCCTTGGACAGGCAAATGTCAAGCTAACATCAACAAAGTCCAAATTCAGTGGGTCCTGGCATTTGTTCGTTCCCCCTTTGGGTGTTTGAAACAAAGCTCAGGAAGAAGATTGGGGAGCCTATAACTTCAGCCGTGGTTCCCTGCCGTGTGGCTTCCAAGGCATAGGATCAGGGCGAGGCTCCATCTTCTGCTCTGCGGGCTGCTTGCTCTTCACATGGCGAAGCTTTGGGATGTAGTTGCCAGCGCTGTTCTTGCTCCATGTGGTGAAGGTACTGGTCTCCCCTGTCGTCCTCATAGGCCTCGGCCTTGGGCTTGCTCATCTCCTCCTCCGGATCCTCTGCCTCGTCCTGGCCATCCTCCTTGGCATTCTCAGGCTCCTCTTCCTCCTCCTCCTCAGGAGCATCATCACCTTCCCTCGTGGCGTCGCCCTCATACTCCTCATCTCCATGCTCATCATGCTGCTGCTGCTGCTCCTCCTCCTCTTCCTCAACCTCCTCTTCCTCAAGACCACAAATATGGATATACACGCTAAGGCTTCTAAAAACGTTTGATTCTTGCCATCTACATCACTCTACATGGGGCTGTTGGTCATTCCAATCAAATTCAACACATCAACAAAATAACCCCATACCGCCACTACAGTCAGGAGGCCACGAACAATCTCTTGCTAGAAAGGTGCCAAGAAACCATCTTGCTCGGCGTCCACGAGCCCCAGGCTTCTTCCTCGTCTGCAGGGCTCCAGGAACCGCGCCAGCAGGTCTTGCGCTGCCAATCCCGCCAGCTGCGCATGAACACTGCCGCAAATGACGCGGACAAGTGGAAAAGGACAAAAAACAAATATGGTTGGTTTTATGGTTTTGCATGTGGTGCGTGTGCATCTTGCATGGTCGTGCGTGGCAGGTCATGCGTGGTCACCCATATGTATATTATACGGTATCTTAGTGTACAATATATTGGTTGTGAATATATTGGTTGCGAAATTCTATATATATATATATCATATGTCATAATGACATGGTATCATGATATATGATACTAGCATGTATATGTATACGCACAGTTCGCCACAGCCTCCAGCCGGGCCACTGTGCATGCATTGACCCCCAAAGGGGGGAACAAACATATATCCTGCAGTATAGCATGCTGATGGTGAATGTGTGTGTGGTGGTGGCTTGTAAAAAACAAACACATGTCAGAACGCGGCGCCGAGCCATCCGTCTGCAGACCATGCGACAAACACTAAACAAGGTTCATGCTGCGCTCACGTTTTCTCCAACTGAGCAATGAGTAGCTATAGAGAACAATTGGTCTGGCGTTCAACAGTTGTTGCAAGTTTGTCAAAGTCCAAGTCCCTGAGCTCACGTTTGCCACCATGTAACATGCACCGCAAAGACTTGTCACGACGCAAAGCGCAACTAAGTTTCCCATTCACCATCCGCGCCTCCGTCGCCCCATTCCACAGGCAGCATGCTCCAACGGGGTGTTCCGTCCTGCGTAATCGATTGTAATGAGCAACTACAAAACTTTAGAAGAGGTTGAGAGGCTCTACTTGTCACAACAGGTTGACAAGTGCCTCAACTTGCTCCACCTCGCAACTCCCATGGTGAACATCAATGCTTCCATAAGCAACCGATAACTGCAGGACCATTTGCTTTCCGTGGTCATGATAAGAACTGCGGACGTGGATCTCCGACGGTATTCTTCCCATTCGCGAAGGGACATAACGGGCACCTCCTCAAAGGCCCAACTAGTGGTCGGTACTGGGATGGCAAGCAGCTCCGCAGGGAGCACTGCCAGCGCGCGAAAGGGGAGGACGTGTGTGTTGCGTGGTCCCTTTTGGAGATGTCCTGACCAGTGCAGGGTCGGAGCAGGCGGCCCGGCTAGGCCGAGATTTTGCAAGTGTTCATGCAGGACATAACGCTGATCTGCCGCGCTGCCAACAAAGAGGATGCCACTTAAGGAGAGGAAAGCGTCTTCATCACCTGACGCTAAGGGATAAACAGTTGTGTCATCACGCAGCTGGGCTGTTGCCTGTTGGCGAAGCTTGGGTATGTTTGCCATCCGATAACATGGGGGGTCAATTACCCTGTAGGGTCCTAACATCTTGTTTCTTGCCTGCAGCAGGCCAGCTATACGAAGATGGTAGTGCTGAGCATGGAGCCGAAGCGTGCACCTAATGAAATACAGGCGATGGCGCCGCGTAGTTATTTCTTGAAGTTGCGCCATCATGTTCAATTTGCCTCGGTCAGGGGCAGCCTCCACTACTTGGGCCCATGCCTGCTGAGTGTACTGTGAGAGAAAAGGCAAACGCCCTGTCTGTTCAGCCCTGTGAACCATGAGTGTTGAATCTCCCTGACAGAGAGACTCATTCCTACCTATACCTCCACTCGAGCCAAAAAGAGCAGCAGCTGCCAGGGATGAAAGGGCAGTAGGTGCCAATGCCAAATGTGGGTCGCCGCACCCCTCTATATCTGAGTAGCCCTTGTGAAACTAACAGCGCCAGTGGTTTGTGGCTAGCTGTCAGCCATGATGGCAAAGTTCTGTAGGCTATGCCAGGCGTTGCCTTTTGGCAGTGTTTCCTACTCTGGCTCGTTTAGCAAGTCTTTCTTCAAGCAAATGTTGAGCCTGTACGCTGTCCGCTTGGTACAAGCGCTTTAGGCGGAAAACCGTTTGAAGCGGCAGCGGGTGCTTGGCAAGGGGGTTGCCCTGGACCTTGCGCCGCTTGGGAGAGGAGGCAGGCAGGCCTCATGCTTTGGCCGTAGCAATTCACAGCGAAAGAGGGGGGGTCATGCGGAGAGAGGCCATAGCGATCAGTGATAAAGCAGTGTAGGGCCCTGAGATGCTCTTTTGTGGGACACGGAGCCGCCCAGAAACCATCATCAGCCAAAAATGACCGAGTGAAAGCCAACTAAAGGTTGCAAAAAACTGTAGGCAGCCCAGGTGAAGTGTTGCTCCAAAGTCTCAAAGAAACGGAACGGGGCAGCTCTACTTCGATCACGCTCTCGAGCAGGGCACCAAGTTGGTGGATTGTTCATCACGTATCGGCTAGCTGCATGGAGCTCAAGGGCAAACCGTGTAAGTTCGGGTGGTAGATGGTGAGGTAGGTGAGGCAACTGTCGGGATAAGAATGCCAGTGCCTCCTGTGGGGTGTCGCTGTTGAGTACGACTAGAGGCCACTTCTTGATGAGACCCTCAAACTCATCGGAGAGGGCCTGTTGGTCAGGTGGCGTTAGTACGGTCCTAAGCCATTCCCTGGTGTTTTGGATAGGAAGCAGCGAACCATGAGCTCCAGCCTGGGCGCAGCATCGTCTCGCAATCTCATAATGGGCACCACTAATGTCAATTTCGCAGTGATTGTGCCCGAATAAAAGAAGCCGGACTTAGCGCGGAAGCTGTTGTGCTGCTGGCCCAACTGTATAAAACCGACCGAGCCCATCACCTGCGGACGGTTTGTAACCGATGGTTAACTTTCCTTCGCAGCTCCTTGCAACCGCTAGATAATCCTGGACTGCATTTACATGAGATTTCAGTTGCGAGATGATTGTGGCTAGGCCCTCTGGTGTCGTCGCCGGACATTCAGTGAGAACAAAAGCGGGTGCTGGTTGCAGGGGGCCACTCTCAATAACAAACCCAAGTTTCTGTGCAAGGTGGTACGGTGGCGATGCCCGGTGGGTAGCTACTGCAAGTGGTTGGTCAATATGTACCTTTGCCTTTGCACTTGCTTGCCCTGCAAAGTAGTCAGCGAGCTTATTGCATTCTCGAGGCAGGTACACAAGTCTAAAGATGAAAGGGGCGCATGCAAGGAGACTCTGGCAGTCCTCTAGAATACTAACGACCTCAGGCCGTTTTACCCGCCCTTTACCTTGCAGGTAATTAAGGAGCGGGAGAATGTCACCTTGGATAACGGTCCCCTTTTGTGGTATACCTCGAGCTAAACACTGTCCATGATACTCAATTGCTGTTGGACAGCTGCTAAGCAGGCCTTGGCTTCTGCTATGACGTTGTCTGCACATGGGACAAGCGGGATGGACCTCCATCGTACCAGGGTAGTGGCCTCTTGGGTGACTTGTAGCAGGCTAATGCCGGCTCCACCTGTCTGGGTACGCTTGTGAGCTGAGCCGTCAAATTGCACTAGGCATCCTTGCCAGTTTGATGCTTCGCCAATGAGGAGGATAGCGTCGTTCGAGACATCGTCGGTGGCTTGCAACTTCATATGAACCATCCCACAGGAGCAGGTGTACGGAAGCAGGGCCGCCGTGGCAGCAGGAAAGGGGAGCCGTCTGTATTGTGTCAGAAGGAGTCGCAGGCGCACATCAGATGATCGGAAAGTGGCAATTACCTCGTGTTTACGAAAGGCTCGATTAGTACACAGCCCTTTATCTGGGAGCAGTGCTGAGTCGATTTGCGTTTGAGGGAATCTTTGTACCCGTATGTGCGTAGTATTAGTACACGGCAAGTCTTGGTAGAGTGGTGGGGCTCGGAACCATTGGAGGAGGGTGTGGTAGGTAAGGATTGGTAGATACGCTGCCACAAGTCGATAACATGTCGTTGGGGAGTTCGATGTTTAAGACATTCAATAGTAGGTCGTAATCCCCATATTCTGTGACAAGTCGCCGAGCATGGAATAACAAATAACACAGCGCAACTCCTGTTTGTCGGTTCGGAGCACTTCGCCAATCAAGTGGCGGTGAAACCCCTTTCCAGAGGAGTAGCCAAGCACCATAGACTACAGGGCAGTACGACAGCCAATGATCGATAGCATTGGCTCCTCCCTGGCAGAGGACACAGGGGATAGGGGCTGCTTGAGTCAATGGACCAGTTGAGGAACACAGCTTGGTGGCGATTGGGGTAAAGATGGTACTGGGGCTGACCAAGCCTTCGCATCTAACTGTGCCATGCAGGTTCAAAAAATTTAACAGCGCATCTGACAAGGGAGAGGGGAGACCCGGATGTTGTCGGGTGCAAGTGTAGCACAGCGCCCCACGGGTGGGCCCAGCGGGGTAGTTCCTGGCATCGCGGCCACGCCACACACAGGGGGAAGTGTGACTGACATGTCCTCTGAGGGGGAGCCAGAGATCAGCATCTTCACCTAGCGCCCACCGCAGGACAGCAAAGCGAGGGACGGCCCCCACATGCGACACTGGTGTTTGCGCTAGCCACTCTAAAAACTCAACAGATGGCCCGTACGTCCACCCATTGCGGGATATCCTGGAAGAGAGATGTAGCACTGATTCGTCAATGTGGCGCGCTATCGCGAATTGTTTAAATCTATCCAGAAAACGTTTGATGCTGCGCGGAGCATCTTGAGGCTGGTCGAGTAGGAGCAACAATTGCCTAACTTCATCAGGAGCTAGTTGTTGTTGCCAGTATTTCCAACAAGCATATACCTGTCGTCTGTAGGATTCATCCGTATCTCTAACAAGGGTCGGAAGCATAGCATGTCCTTGCCGAAGATAACACCCAAACAGCGACACTGCGTGCATGAGAGAGGGATCCAGAAGTGGTCCGAGCCGCAGCCAGCGACAAATGCCAACTAGTTTGTACTGTGGGAGCCAGTGCCTTTTGAGGAGAAAGTCAGCAAGTGCCCGGTAAAGCGGCGCCAGGACATGCTTAGGGAAGTATCGATGTGTCTGTACATAGTAAAACAGACTGAGCGAAAAAGCATTGAAGTATATGATTTTGGCATGTACTTAAGTTGCCTTTGTTTCCAGCAGCAATTCTCGTACGGAACTTTAGTAATTGTTTGGAAAGAAGAGATGGCGCAGTACGCACCAATGGACAATATTCCA